AGCTTGGATTGTCACCGCTTTGGTAAATCTCCAGCTTCACCAGATTCAGTCACTCCAGCTGGTTTTGGCCATTCCTGTTGCTTCCTTGCAGATAGCGATGACTTCTGCAGCTTCCCAAGTACAAGCTGCCTTTTTATTTTTGCATTAATTATTTTGGGTGTTTGGGGGACTTCACTTAACTGAACCTGGGGCTGCTGGTGGACAACAAGTTGACCACGAGCCAGCAGTGTGCCCTTGTTGCCAAGAAGGCCAATGGCATCCTGGGGTGCATTAAGAAGAGTGCGGCCAGCAGGTCAAGGGAGGTTTTTCTCCCCCTCTACTCTGCCCTAGTGAGGACTCATCTGGAGTGCTGTGTCCAGTTCTGGGCTCCCCAGTTCAAGAAAGGTGAGGAGCTACTGGAGAGAGTCCAGCAGAGGGCTACGAGGATGATGAGGGGACTGGAACATCTCTCCTACGAGGAAAAACTGAGGGACCTGGACTTGTTTAGCCTGAAGAAGAGAAGGCTGAGAAGGGACCTTATAAATGCTTATAAATATCTGAAGGGTGGGTGTCAAGAGGATGGGGCCAGACTCTTTTCAGTGGTGCCCAACGACAGGACAAGGGGCAATGGGCACAAACTGAAGCACAGGAAGTTCCATCTGAACGTGAGGAAAAATTTATTCACTCTCAGGGTGACGGAGCACTGGAACAGGCTGCCCAGAGGGGCTATGAAGTCTGTTCTCTGGAGATATTCCAAACCCTCCTGGATACAGTCCTGTGCAGCCTGATCTAGGTAACCCTACTTTGTCAGGGGGGTTGGACTAGATGATCCCCAGAGGTCCCTTCCAACCCCTACCATTCTGTGATTCTGTGAACGAACAGAGCATCACTCTTACAAGTACTTCTCCAGAGTGTGTATGTGGATAATACTCTGCCCTGATAGAGCAGGCTGGACCGCTTGACAGCTTTACCATCTGACAGCTGAAACAGGGGAGGGTCTGAATCGATTTCAAGCCTGGTTTTAGAGCATTTAGTCCTTCCCCACTCCACCACACATTTGCAAAAATATCTCTGTTCTGTTTTCATGCAGAAATCTAAAACCTCCTCACCACTGAAAATCAGTTTTTCAAAGTACTGTGGACCACAGCAAGAAATTCCAGTGGCAGGAATAGTTAGATACCTGTGTTGGAAAGTCTAAACTAGCAATGCTAAATTAGTTTACACTATGTGTTAGAATTACCCTCCTGCCTTGGTATTTGGAGGTGGGAAGATTCGTGTGGCGGGGGGGAAGGACAGTTAAAGCAAACAGTGCTTATGAGGCACATGAAAGCAAAGAGCATAAATGAAGGGAAAATGACCCAATTTTCTACTGATTTGTTCAACGAGTTACTGCAAGTAATTTTTTCCTTGTGCTATTTATGGAGTTTCCCTCTTCTAAATGTTACCATGGTCACTGTGGTGTAACATTAATTTGTTTATATAACCCCTGCGTTGCACATATAGATGCAGATGTTATTTCAGAATCACTACACTTGGGAAAGATTTTCTAAAACCTGTACACTAAAACTTCATGGAACAGCGATTTTTTTACCATAACAAGAAAAACAGGCAGAGAAGGGCACAAGACTAACTGTCCTACCATGAAGAGATGGTTGCTCAGCCCCTCTGATGCTCCACTCCCCTTGAATCCACAGCTGGGCTTCAGCCTTGTAACGTGCTTGTTTTAACTGCGTGTTCCATCGCTTCTCTTCATACCATGCACCAGAAAAAGAAACTGATGGGTTTGGTTTAATATTGGATTTAATTAAGATAAACCTAAGATATTAGGAGCTCAAGAGCACAGTGGAAAGTATAAACCAGGATGTATTATTGCTTTTAGTCCAAATATTCGTTAATTTCCAAAAAAAAGGTCTGCATTTTTCCTACAGCTTATTTTATGGCATACCATTGGTAAAAAAGCAAACCTCTATGAGTATTTACTTTACAGTAGCAGCGTAAATTCTTTGCAGCCTAATGTATCATATGCAAGATACTACTCGAATCCCAGAAGGGTATTAAAACTTTCAGCATGAGATGTCCAGAAATTTAACTGTGTCTCAGCCCATGGTAACTTTTTTTCTACAGTATAAAGCAGAATAATATTTTACAGAAACACATATCATGAATGAAGCTGTTCTCCATGAAGCGCTTGTTGGCTGAAATTATTAACAACGAAGCAAAAATACCTGTAGATGTATTTTAGGCTTAACAGATTGACTGATTTGCAGCCCTGGGGAACTTCTCCTGTTCTGTCTGAGTGGGAAGCTGTGGGCAAACATTCATCACAACCCAGCAGAGTGTGTTCTGACTTCAAGTTGTATTAAAAAAAAAAAAAAGCCCTTTTGTACTTTTTGGTTACAGGGAAGAACAGGCATGAACAAGAATATTCTTCTGCCTTTGGTGCTTTATGTTTGGACCTTGTGTAATACCAGCACTCTTGCCAACCTCCCCTGCCTCCTAGTAGCAAAAGACATTTTTCTGGAGGATGAAGGTGTAAAGAGGGACCTTCCTTGCCCTTCTTTATGAAATTCTAAGGAATACTGAAGAGCAGATAATTTCCTTCCTTTGCAATTCCCTTCAAATATTGGCACAGAGCCTGGCACTACCACAGCACTTCTTCCTCGCTGTAGTACAGTGGCAAGATGCAGTGATGCAAATTAAAAATGAAGTCAAAGCACTATCTTCAAACTAACCTAAAATACCTTAAATGAAGCATGGATGGAGCCATCATCTAACCGTTTAGCACTTGTCTCGTATTCGATGGAGAGTAAAGTTAGAAAAAATTTCCTCCCAAGTACTATTTTAGTGCACTTCAGACTTGCACTGAGTCAGGTTGCACACACGTTTCTTAAGATCCCAGACAGACACAGTTTGGTCTCCTAACTGATTTGAAGAGTTGGATTTCATTCCTTACAGGGAAAAAAAATCCTCTTATCTGGTTATTCTACACGGTTATTCTATAGAGCTTTGTCTGCACTAATCTATGGCTTAGTGCTTAGTCTCTGCTGCCTTCATTGCCATGCTGCACTCCAAGTAGAGCAGAATAAGCCCTATTTTATTGCCTTAGAAACTGTATTCCTACAACTTAACCTCAAAAACAGGCTCAAAATTGATCTTGAGTACTCACCGCAAATGCATTTCAGTGAGAGCACCATACCCATGCCCTACACACTTCTCGCCTGCCTCCTTTTGAAGGACAACCAGGGGATCAGGCCCAGCCAGCACGGGTTCATGAAAGGCAGGTCCTGCTTGACCAACCTGGTCTCCTTCCATGACCAGGTGACCCACCTAGTGGATGAGGGAAAGGCTGTGGATGTTGTCTACCTGGTCTTCAGTAAGGCCTTGACACTGTTTCTCACAGCATCCTCCTGGAGAAACCAGCTGCCCATGGTTTGGATGGGTGTACTCTTCGCTGAATAAAGAACTGGCTGAATGGCCGAGTGCAGAGTGGTGGTGAATGGAGTTAAATCCAGCTGGCGGCCGGTCATGAGTGGTGTTCCCCAGGGCTCAGTTCTGGGTCTGGTCTTGTTCAACACCTTTATCAATGATCTGGAGGAGGGAATTGAGTGCTCCCTCAGTGAGTTTGCAGATGACACCAAGTTGGGTGGGAGTGTTGATCTGCTTGAGGGTAGGAAGGCTCTGCAGAGGGATCTGGACAGGCTGGATCGATGGGCCAAGGCCAACTGTATGAGCTTCAACAAGGCCAAATGCCAGGTCCTGCACTTGGGTCACAACAACCCCATGCAACGCTACAGGCTTGGGGAGGAGTGGCTGGAAAGCTGCCTGACAGAAAAGGACCTTGGGGTGATTGGTCGACAGCCGGCTGAACATGAGCCAGCAATGTGCTCAGGTGGCCAAGAAGGCCAACAGCATCCTGGCTTGTATCAGGAACAGTGTGGCCAG